GAGTTCAAGTTTGAATAACTACTCTGCTGACTGGCCCCTGGAAGATGAATGGTGAGAGATCCATGTCGAAATTACGGTAGGGATTTATAGTAGGGCCGCCTGCGGAATGTATTTATAATAAGAGCTACTTGCATATTTTCAGTAGTTCAATTTTCCGAATTTCCAAACGGTTCTTAAAAGTTTCTTGGCCTTCTTTTCCGTCTTTTTTCCTTCCCGCGACGTTTTCGCCTACATTTTAAGTTCAGTAAGCAATTACAAGCGACTCTCATTTCTTTCTTATTGCGCACTTATCATGCATTCACCATGCACTCATCACGCATTAACCCTGTCACCACGAACTCCGTAAGACACGTGGGGTGGGGAGACTTCAGCCATTGGGCGGTCCTACGGTAAATCCCTGCGGTAAATCCCTACCGAAATTACTCATTAAATCGCAATCGAGTGAGTTGAAAGTGGAACTTAGGGAGTGGACTGTACTTGTCTAGGTAATCGATGTTCACTGGCCTTGACGTCGTTTCAAGCGGACGCAAAACAAGTACGCTTTCTCCAGTAGGACGTTTACGTAGCGAAGCTGTTTGGACCGTTTTTCTTCGTCTTCTTTTTTCATTCCTGGACGGGAATGCCCTGTCATGCCAATTTTTCGGTCGTATTTCTCTGATTTCTGAAAGAAAGACTAGCACCTTTTTATATAACTGAGAAATAAAGCAATAAGAGATATACTGCAGAAGTTTTAGCGTGCCCTTTTAACTGGCGCCTCTTATGATGATACTGAATTGTTGGATACTGCCTCAGTTTCCATAATAACGATTTCAGTCCACTGATGTGACTTGCACACGTGTATATATACTTTATCGTAAATCAAGGATCACGATGAGTCTTTTCAAGATGTACACCGTTTTCTCGGCCGAATATGGGGGCTTATCTATACTACTTATTTTACTGCCTACTCCGGCACTTTTTAGTAAATCCTCGAAACGCATTCACTCTTTCTACAGACTCGACGACCTATTACAAGGTGGCCTTCTATCCGGGGAAATAACTGAAGTCTTCGGACCATCTGCGGTTGGGAAGACACAGGTATCTGAGGTTTAAAGTATTGCCTGTGCGATAGAACTTTTTTCCTTGGTTTTATTATTTTTGATGACTACTTGGCGGTTTAATGGTTAAAACAAATATTTCACTTAATTAAGTCTCTTGTCGTAGACTTGATGGCTTTCAGTGGGGGATTCCTTCTGCACATTTAGCAACCCTCAGGAATTCAAAAACAAACAAACAAAACTACTTCCATCTTTTCAGTAGATCGAATTTCCGCTTATCGAAACACTTCCTTGATTACGTTACCCAAGAGGAATTATTTTAATATTGCTATTGGTCTATAAACATCGTCTACTAACCAATAGGAGTTAATGTTAGTAAATTTCGTTTGTTCCTCATGCTTTTCAGATATACTTTTAGTTCAGTAAGAAACTTGGGCGGAGGAGCCTTCGCCATTAGGTGGCCTCACAAAAAAGCCTTATCCATTTGTGACTCAAACTATATTCAATATGGTAATTGATACAGTCCCTAACGGTGTTTGGGTGCCGATGAAGGGCCAAACGTGCTCCAAAGTTAAATTTGCACACGAAGGGCTATTCTGACCATAAGTGGTCTGTGATAGGAATTAATCCACGATCTGTCCCCAAATCGGTTAAGGAAATCGTAACCGAGTCATATACGGAAAAAGTAGTTGCGAGTCCATCAGTACTGGTAAACGGAACTGGGTCGAGGACGTTCCAAGATTGGCAACGACTTGCGAATCAAAAGCTGAAGCTGGGCTGTAACATCTTCCGGTATCATGTATATTTACCTGACCTTTCATTCACAGCTAAACACCTATTTAAACATAACGAATTGTTCACGAATAAGGGAAAACGTTCGCGTTCCAGGTATTTGCATGAAATTTCGAACTCTTTTAAGAGTCTTTCGTCAGAGTTTGAAAGTTCAGGATAATAAACAAACTGATCCGGCGCCCGACAACCCTCCTTTCTCGTCCATAACGAATTGTTATTGTGCAATAGGATATACAAAATTGGGGGGTATCGTTATGGAAACGTTACGTGAACTCCTGGAAAGTAGGCATCTTATAAAGATGACACGCCTTCGTTAGTAACTCTTTGAGAAAACG